TGATTTTGTCTCCTGGTCTGTAGTATTCGAATAAATATATAACTTGAGTAAAGCGTAGGTTCCCGGATTGGTTTCAATTTCTACTCTATCAAGAACTAAGCATTTCCTTGGCCTAAGTGATGTCCTATAGGAGTGGAACCTAATACGATTATTCAACTAACCCTGGTTCTTCACCATAAGGTTAGTTGAGTCGAGCCACACAGAGTGACCCTAAACATTCTTTGAATGACTGAGGTATTTGAACCCTACCCAAGTCAGGTAGGAGTACACCATGAACAGTGGTACTGATGTCTGATGACTTTCATGCCGCCAATTCCAAAGTCAGTTTAGACCCCGTTTGTCCTTCCTGACATAAGCACACTATAAGGGTCAGATGTAAATCTCTTTATTTGAACCCTAATTATATCAACCTTTGTTGTATATACAGTCATACAAAACGTCTGAGAAAATTAGAGACCTGTGGAATACGCGGGAAAGATTACTATTTTGGTTGGCCACGCTCGATTGAATCACCCAGTATGCGAGAAAATAATTTTGAAAGATAGTATTCATCGATATGACTGCGAAAAAAAATTCGGAGGCTGAAATTTGGTATGTAGGATTATTTTATGTGGTAGATGTGCAATAAGAGAGAATTGTTGAATATTCCAACTGGGGTGCTCCCCAGGAAGAAAAGGAACTCGTTTACATATGAAAATTATTTTTTATCAGTGTTTTTCCGTACTATTACATTTTCGGAGGCTGAAATTTTGTATGCAGGTTTATTTTATATTGTAGATGTGCAATAAGAAAGGATTTGTCAATTCTTCAACTGGAGATTCCCCCTGAGGATAAAAGGGGCGTTCATTTTCATCACTGTTTCAACATACCGGTAGATATATTTTCGAAGGCTGAAATTTTGAATGTAGGTTCGTTTTATATTGCAAATGTGCAATAAGAGAGGATTTTCAAATATTACAACTGGGGCTCCAGCCGAGGGGGCAAAAAGGGGCGTCTATGAAATAAAATTATCTTTTCATCACTGTCTTAATGCCCTTGAATTTCCGATAAGTGAATTTATATTTAGTATCATCATTGCACCCGCGGAGAGCCAGGGCAGGTCGTTAGTTATTCGTATTATCATAATCTATCTTCATTCATCATTTGATAATGAATCTCAAGAGAGAAGTATGTTGTGTGACGAATGAAAATGATATAATCAAGAAATGATTTTGACTATTTTTTAATTTGTTGATCATGGTTAGATAAAATTCAATACCAGTGCTAATTTGTTGATAGGATTAAATATTCATTCTAATGATATCATATCTTCAAGTAGGTATTATATTGAAGACTCTATTGTTCATATTGTCACAGTACCTTCGTTCATCATTCGATAATGAACCTCAGGAAAGTAGTGTGTTGTGTGACGAGTGAAAATGATGGAACTGAAAAAGGTATTTTACTATTTTTTATGAATCAACAAATACGTTTTTTCAAAACAACAATATCACGTGATTTCTGAAGCGTTAAGTATCGTTGTGTTTGTGGCATGTTCATCACATTACCAAAGGGGTCATCCAAAATTCCCTTACTTCCCGTTGGGAAGTTGTTAGTGCATTTATTTCTGACCGGGATATTATAAGCTTATATCGTCATAGTTACGCTATCAATAAAGAGGGTCATAACTCCCTTGGGACATTATAGATTTTATAATTCCCTCTACCTTTCACAAGTAAAAATAAATAGAAATGAAAACTGAACCATATTTTATTCATTCACGTCATTACAAATAATAAATGTAC